CTGCATACTATCGTATGGGGTTCTCATTGTAGAAAATGTATTAATAGATCCACCGTACTACTATCCCTTTTCTTTTTTTTTCTTTTTTGCTAACAGCATATTTATATTAGTTATATTGAACCTCATTCTTATAGGGATTCAAAGAAAATGAATAGATTGTCTATGAATGTTCAATGAGAACTAGACTGCAATACATTGATGTTGTAATTGAGTCAATAATACAGGAGTAATTGGAAGTTGACTTTGATCTCAGCTCGAGACAAATATAATAGAGATATTATACACTATATCAATGTTTAAATACTACCAAATGAAAAGAAAACAAACCGGTTGAAGAATAATCAGGAGGATATTGTTATTTAAATAGGAAATTTACTGTATTTAATATTGACTCCAGATAGACGATTAATGACTTATTTATTACGCGTATTCAGAAATACCGTTTCCAACATATTTCTCAAACCATGTACCCTTTGTAAATTCACCATTCGCTCGCCACCTTCAACAACGGTATTCTAAAGAAAAAACAAAACGAAAAAAATATAAAAAAAAAACAATGGAAAGTTATCATGTTTTGAGACAGTTATCTTGGTTATTGCTGATTGTTATTTAACATTAAACTTCCACATTACACATGTCCACAAAGTTTTAGTCTTCGCTGGTTGATAACCCTTATCCTGGATTTACCACATGGTACCTTATATTGGTCCACGCTATCCCCACTATTTGAAGTTGATGACTTCATCATGACTGTATTGAAAAGATAAGAAGCATTAAACTCGGATGTCTCTCAAGAATCTCAAGACAATCCTATGAGAGGTGATGTTCACAATTATAATTTTGCAATCTTATGTTGTTAACGTGTTACGTTCAGTTAAAAACTATAATCTGACATCGTCGACAAGGGGTTTTAATGTTTTCTATTTTAAAACAATAACGAATCGTGTTCAGATGATGCACAGATTTCAACAAGATTGATAATGATTGATAATTCGAATCGAATGGGGACAGAAGCGGTGAGTTTAAAATTCCGAATTGTCCGAATTGGGTCAGAAAAAACCTTTAAATCTATTAAGCGTATTAGGGCCATTCATTTTTTATTTTTGGAATTTTTAAAGTTAGTATGTTGAATTTTCAAGTTAGTATGTTGAATTTTCAAGCTAGTATGTCCACTGGCAGTTTTGATAATAACAGCAATACAGTAACAATTACCAGTAAGAAATATTCAACCTTCAGTCATGTAGCTCTTTAAGGCGACACTGAATAATATTACCATGTTTTGTCGGGTGATTACTAACACTCATCCGAAGTTTCATCTGAATCCGTCAAGAATTGTGCCTTCTGGAGTGTTTATATGCTAAAATTGAACGCGTTTTCAAGAACAAGGGCAATAACTCATACTACACATTTTTCGATTTTTCTGATTTTCGATAGGGATCATCCTTGGGTGATAACAGACACTCATACCAAGTTTCATCTAAATCCGTCAAGAATTGTGCCTTTTGGAGTGTTTACAATATAAAATTGAACAAGGGCAATAGCTCATACTTATTATTTTAAGATTTTTCTGATTTTCAATAGGGTTCATCCTTTGGTGATTGCAAACAATAGACGTTCCGTCCGACGGAAATGGGTGACGGCCATATACACTCCCATTTCATGGGGGCTTAAAAAATCATATCAATTGATTGTTAGTAGTGTTAGTATGAATAAAATTATTGGAAGAAACATAGTTGTTGTTATTATAGAATATGTTTTAAAATATTCTTTCGTTGTCAATCACAAATTCGTGGACAGCCTTTGGAGCAATTTTTGTTTCGATTTTTAGGTCTTTTCTGACCAATTCGGACTTTTACACACACCGTGACAGAAGAGAAGCTGTCAACTACAAAATGACTTGTAATCACTATTTCTATTGGTCTATCAATATGTTCTGTTACAGTGTTTTCTTGTCACATCTGCCGAAATTTGTTTTTAATTTACAAAAGACATGCTGAAGCACAAATTGAATGAAATTGTCAATGATAAAATCAATGAAATCTGTTATTCTATTCTTTAGAAGATCGTCAGAATGTTGACATAAACCACCCAAATCATGTTCCATTTGGATATTAATCAATACTCATTAATGGATTTCAGGTCACTTTTGAACACATTTATACAACTCATTTCAAATTCAAGGGTCATACAAATATAACTTAGATTTTTTACTTAATTTTATGTACTCTTAACTGAATAGTCACAGATCAAATATTTCTTACTATGTTTTGACGGCGGCAAAAAGAGCCAAGCCTTCCCTTGGTGCCCTGGTCAACGAAAAGGGCAATTATATTGTTTAACTTGAATTGAAACGGTTTTACTTCTATAAGTCAAAGCAGGGAATTTGGAGATGACCTTTTCAAGAAAACTCTGGTAGATTTTTTTGTACTTGAATTGTCTGGCAAGAAGAGCTAAGATTACAGCTTCAAATAAACTTTCCAAGTTGAAGAATAGATCGAGCGCAGAATTTTTTATTTTGTTATTGATGTCTATAATGAGGTCGTGACAAAACCGTAAAAAACTAGAAAAGAGAAGGAAAACATTGATGGAAGTCATTAGTTTGAATCTTGGGAGAATTAGGTACAGATCGCAAGGTCTTGAATTGGCAGCTAATATTCATAGAAATAAAGTAGGCCTAACAACCAGACCTAACTAGGAAGAGCCAATAATTGTAAAGGCCGTTGAATGTAATATACCTTTGGTGGTCAGAGCAATGGTTGTTCTGTTCAGTAAATATACGAGTGTTGCTTGTCCAATACGCCCAATGACCTGCGCCCAAATATTCTCCAATAACTGGAAATAGAAAGATAAGGTTTAGGATACCCAGTGGCGAAGCGAGGATTTCATTGATGGGGGCGCATTAGGCATTAGCCTACTCTTTCTCCCTTCTGGAGTTGAGGGGCAAGACAGTGTTTTACATATTTGAAATAAGTCCGGTATGCCTAGTTACCATTACACCCATTCCAAACGAATAATTTAACTGTTATTTTAGCATGTAACATAGGCCTACTGCTAACTACCATCGTTTTAACGTCAATATAAAAGATGTTTCCAGTACATGCTTGTTTAAATTCTTTTGATCACTATTGGTTTTAAATATGGCCAAAAGGAGGTTTATACATCCTCTTCAACCCATCAAAGAACGGCTGGAGAGAAGCCGATAGTAAATCATTGAATATCAGACTGTTAAGAGAAAAATGCCATTGATGACAGACGGAAAGTCGAAATGATTGACTTTTGTGGAGGAAATCTAATTAAATAGAGGCAAATTAATGTTTTAATGTAATATAGTAGTCAAGCCTAGAGCAATGTTTATATTGGTTACAAAATAACATATCCTTTTATCTTTTCCTAGCTTGAGCTCATCGTCTGATTTCTAATGTACTTGGGTTAAAATAATGTTTAATATTCGCATGACTTAATGTCTTTTTCAGACTGAATCGGACGATCAAGAAAATACAGGTAATCTATGACATGGGGTGGTGGATTTTTAAATGTTTGATGGAGAATATACTTTTCCCGCATATTTATTTGACCAAATTGGAAATTTTTGATACCTGCCAAAATCCTGACCGGCAGTCTAAGACAATATAACTCTTTACAGATATGATAGACACATCTTATAATCTATATAAAATCCACATTATTTCAAGACAAAAGGGTACATTAGCCCTTTATAAATCTGTTCAAAATTTATTTCATTTGTCATTGTTAACAACAATAATGACAGTTCATTTCCAATTTCCAATTGAATATATTCTAATCAATTATCAACTGTTATATTTTCTAATTCGTCTCCTGTCATACGTTTGTATAGTAAAAAAAAATGGATAACATTTTAGAACAATAAAATTTACATACTGTGGTATTATTTTATTTTATCAAAGTGAGCCCTTGGAGATCTAAACTCATACACGATTAGGTATTAGTACAAATATATTACAATAGCATAAGCTATTTATATGGCACGCCTGATTTCAAGCAGTATTAAAGATGCTTATTTTTCCCTAATAAAACATGGCTTAGGTACGAAGCTACTAGCTAGAATATAGCATATTTCCATGTGCTTTGCAATCATAAAGCAGGATTTGACCACCTTCTGATAAATCTTTTTCTCCTGGTGTTAATTTGCCTCTGTAAACAACCATCAAGAAAGACAATCTGAAGAGGTTTTTGCAAGCAAGGAATGAATGGTATCGATAGAGTGTATTTGGAATAAATATTACAGGATCCATAAAAAATATGTGGGTTAAATTCAATTAAAGCAACAACATCAAAGTACACTGTTTTTTATAATCACAAAAAAGAAATAAATATCACAAAGAATTATCAGAATATCTGTACAGATCTTATGCTTCCATTAATGTATAATTTAATTTATCAAAGGAGTTTTTTAACGTTTGGATGACTAATATTATAGCTGACATTTGTAGAGAGAATTCTTTATGACCAGCTTCTTGTAAGGATTTAACAATCATATTCCATTCAGCACCATTAGTTACATCATCACTGAATACTGCTTGTCTTAATGTATTTTCATCTACTTTATTATCTGGAATTATAACATGTGGGAATTAATTAAACATTATGATGTACTGCTACATTAATCTTCTCACATTCAACATTACACATACTGACTGAATTATAAAACTGAATAGAGATTCTTATGTAGGACAGTTTTCTGAATATGTGGGGCATTAACAGGTTGTATTTGATACAAAATGCTTCTAATTGATATCATTTAACTAAAATATATTCTAAAACAATATATAAGTTAGATGATGCAGACACATGTTTCCAATATAAATCCCGGAAAGATAGTTTTGAAAACGTATTGCTTATATAAGTATTTGCATATGACATGGATAGATGATACATTAACCAATCTAAATTATTCCATCGACAAATAAATTACATCTTCTTAGAAAAAATAATGACATACCTGTTTGTTTCTGTAGTTGTAACTGTTGAAGAAATTTAACACCAAGATCAATATTATCAGCTTGAATCAGTGTTTTTAAGATAACACCCACTGGAAGGAGTGGGGTACCTAGATTATCTATTTTAGATATAGTTAATAATAGTTGAAGAGATGGACATGTTTTCACAATATGAACTAGGAACTGAGGATCTATACAATCTTTAGATTTAGCATACTGTAGTCCAGTAAGAACACGACCTTGTTTCAATAAACATAATATAACTCTATGATGTTCTTTAAGACTGGTAAAAATAGATTGAGCTAGAGCTTGACATCCACATTGACATGGTATCTTACAAGAACAATGATCTTCTAACAATACACCAATATCTCTTGACAAACTTAAACTGAAATTCAATAATAGAATCCAATTATCAACAGATTCTGCTGTTGACATGCATCATTATGTTGGGATGACATAATTATAGCTATAAATCGGTTGAAAATGACCACAATGTCCTTTACTGTCCAAAGGGCTCAAAGAGGCTTTAAAGCCTTTGAATAATGTTTACTTATGACTTTTTTTGCTACAATGATATGGTAATTTAGACAGGTTTGCTGGAAATACATAACAGATAAACCACAATTGTGCAAATAAAAGCTATACGTGTCCTTCAATTTTTTCTGAATTTAGTAGATCTCTAAATAAAAGCATTTTTAAAATGCATTTAACGGTAATGGTCTGTCTCCTTTACTATATAAAACAGTAAATGGGAGATATGCTGTCAGTTGAATTACTAGAAAAAAAATGGTGAAATTACAGATATCAACTTACCTATCCTGAGCTATCCAATGTGATAAAAGATCCAGTTTATTTTCATTTAAAGCACATTGAACACAATCAATAGATAGTCCTATACTTGGTTTATTACCACATACTTTTACTGAAGACATTAAGGCATCACAGAAAGCTAATAATGGTGTTCTTCCTCCATTGTATTTTAATTTAACTTCTATAAAATATAACAAGAACAGTTTTAGTTTAAATTTTGAGGACAGAGTGCAGATCACCCAGTTAGAGTCATTATGACATATGATCAGTTATATCTAATGGCTGTCGTGGATCTTAACATTAGCTGTAATCATTGTAAAAATATATATACATGTATGTTTCATTCTTTCTATTCTTCATATATTTAATAATTAATAAGATATTTAAACAATATGTTGTCATGTCTATATATTGAGTTGCAATTGGGTCTTTTTAATCAAATAAAACAATAGCTGAGTTTTAAGATAGAAAGATCACATGAGATTTAGCATTTTCAAGAGAATTTTTTAATCCAATAGGATTTTCGAATCTAAACACAAAATATAACATGTAAAATTGTCAGTTATTTTACCAGTCAAGGCTAAACTATCACTAACTCAGTATACATACACAATACCTCTAAATTTAGCCAGAGTTGCTTGTGTTCGTAAGATTCCTTTAGGACTATTAGCAGCATGTACAGCAGCTTCTTCAAACTTTCCATCTTCAAATAATTCATTGAATTTCTCAATATATTCTAACATCATTTCAGCTTCCTTTTCTTTATTAGGATCATCTTCTTCAAACTGAGTTGAAGTTTCACCACTATTACTGTTATCTCCTTCACTTGAAAGCTCTATAATGAAATAATCAGATATTTATTCACTGAAAATTACCATTTCCCCAACGCAATTTAAGAATTAATCACAGTTATATATCATTTTATATTACAGTATTTAGAATACATATATTACACTTTATTCATTTTATTCATTGGATTAAATTCAACCTATTTGCCATAATATCTTATGGATTGTAGTTCTTATCAGGTGTAAAATTTATTCATAAAAAATTTTGACTCAAATCAATCTAGTGAAAACTAATAAATAACTGTATTAAAAGCGGATTTTGTACATTCAAATTATTCTTTATAGGTAAAATAATTATATTATTGTCCTGGAATGTGTTAATTATACTGTATATACCAAATTTGTTATCATCAATTAAATCAGATAGTTTCAGTTAATTTTTCACAATTTCACTTTACAGAATATTAGAGGTTTTGAAAATTTTCAAAGAATAGCTCTAAAGGAATAATAAAACTTAGCTTTAGGCCTTTTTAAATGAGATATAAATGAGAAATGAGAAATGTCTATTTAAGTTTGGTGACAGATCCTGTAATCAAAAAAGGAAAATTCTATGATTCATAAGAACCAACCAAAAATCTTGTTATCATTAAAAAATCCTAAAATGGCCTCCAAGTTGTAAGTAATGTATAGAATGAAGCTAGAAATTATGTAAGAGCCAGTATTGATTCTAAAATAGATCTATTAGTTTCTATTACACAATATAACAGTTACTCACCAGTATGTGTGGCCTGCTTGCCTAGATAATGTTGAAAAGCTAAAATTACTGCATCACCAACCGTTTGATGGGGAGGTTTAGCTCTGTTATAAGCCTCACTTGCTTCTAAGGCTATCTTTAATCTGTGACTTTTAGTTTTAAAATCTTTACTCTGTGCTAATAAATGATCTCGAAAACTGACTTTCTTGTATAGATACTCTTTCAATTCGTCTTTATTCTTCTTAGGTAGATATCTAGTTTTAAAACTGTTATTTAATTCACGTAACTGTCTATCTAGTTTAACCAGTGTTTTATTCAAATATCTAGGATCAGTTTGTTCTTCTAAAGATACACCTGTTAATACAAATATGTTAAAAAATTATATCCATATGTTACTATATCATACTTAAAGGGACATGTTAGTCATCCCTTTTAATCATACCAATCATACTTTAGTCTAGGATATGGGAATTTTTAAGTTAAGCTAATCAATAATTTTGTTCACAGCTCACAGTTGAAATTTGAGCCATCAAATCCATGTGTGTCCAGGGTTATGTGCGTTTGAAAATTAAAAAGACGACTTTGCCTTGTATTGAAAAGACATGTATAGCAAAAGAATGTTAATTCCTATTCTGAGGTACTTTTGACGAATTTGTGTGATTTTCGTTCATTTCAAGTAGTTCTGAGGACTTTTTACATATAATGAAGACCCAAATCAACACCTGAAAATGGGGAATCTGTCCCTTTAAATTTATATGGTTTGATATTTTAGTACAGTATGATAGAGTATAATAATAAGAATCACATATATATTTTAACATTAATGACTAAGTGGAATATAATAGTATTATCTTTACTAATCATATACATGCATTTGTTGTATTTACGATATACATTAGTTATTATCTGAATATCGCAATTATAAAGGGAAATGTCCTATAAGCTAACAGAATTTGACTTAATAACAGAATCAAGATCAATATCAGTTTGTAAAAATATAGGTTTATTTATGAAATGCTTATGTCATGTTTATATACGTAGTGAATTTGAAATTTATTTGATAAAGAACATTTTCAATAAATGTAAACTACAAATCCAATTTATAAGAGAAAAGAATGTCCACTTTTTTTTACCTCAATACAGGTCAAAATCCATTTAGATAGGTCACTTGTTAGTGTGTTGAAATAATAATATATTATTGAGAATAGGCAAGTTGTTGAAAGCTGATGCCCAGTAAGAGAATTCATTGAAATTCGAGATCGGAAACAATTTAGTAGTCTGTAAATTGTTTAAAATATAGGTGATTTAATATTATCTATCAGCGAGTGCTACTAAAATAACTGACCTGGTAACATTCTAATATCTTTTTTTAACTGTTTTTTAGGTATTTCTTTAATTTCATGATCTTTTTTAGTTCTTTCTTTTCTCACTCTTTGTAACTCCTCTAACTCTGTTGCTAGATTCTTATTGTTTCTTTTGATGAAATTGATTCTAGAAAAAATATAATGGTTAAAAAAAATTCAGAAATTAAATACGGAAATGGCTTAAATGTATTGTATCTTTTACATTTCCAACAAATATTTCTCAAAAATAAGTTGCTGAAACTCCTTTTGATTTTACTGAAATATAAGCTTACAAACCTAAGATGTTAGAACATTTTATATACAAATGGGAGCTAAACATTGGGGGGTCAAAATTAGCTTCTATTTATCAAAATATAGCTGCAAGCAAAATAACCTCTAAAAAACATTAAAAGCTATAAGCTTACCTTTCTTCTAATTGGTCAGATCTTTTACGATAGTTTCTAATAGTTGAAGGCGTTGATGCCATGGCTTTTAATTTACCTTGTAAAAATACAGCTTCTTTTTGACCATTGATAATAGCATCAATAGTGGACTCATATTCTTTTTTAATAGATGTTAATATTGGTTTATAGGCAGTTACATGTTCTATCACCTATTTAACAAAAATAATAGAACAAACTAAATATTTATAACACATTATAGAAAGAAGCAAAAGATATACTTTTATATACAGTATTTTAAACTTATAGTGGATCAGTTTAAGCTTATTTTTTAAACAGATCAATGTTGTATAATCTAAAGTTTTTATTTCAAATTATAATGGCAAAAAAATAGTAAGTTTATAATGTAAATTTTTTTTTTTTAATTACCGGTTCTGAACTTGGTGTAATAGGTATAACCAGTACTAATATCCTGGCATTTAAAATTTGACAACTTAAAGGGATTGTTAAGAGGTTTTCTAAAAATATTTAGGTGCAGTGATAGATAGAATCTATTTGCACCATTCCAATTTTCAATCAAACGTCTTTAGTTCTTGCGATTAGGGCTGGTTATCGATTACCAAATTGAGATCTATTATCGATGTCAGACTACCAAACAATTCAATTGAGAAACCCTGTAAATACTGAATTAAAAACATACCAACATTTTAATTTGAAAGGAAACTATGTGGAATAGACTACTGCTGGTTAACGGGCACAGTAGAAATAATGTGACTTTGATGTATAATCGATTATAAATTCCTAGGGACGATAATCGATTATTTTGATCATTTTACCCAGTCCTACCTGCGATTCCACTAAAACTACAAGGTTTAGTTTTAGAGGAATTGCAGGTACCACAAACATCTGATTGAAAATTGAAATGGTGCAATTAATGCTATCTGTGTTCCCGATCAAAAAAAAAAATTATATTTAGGTTTAATTTATCAACAGATTATGAAAATAAATTATAACAGTAACTTTATGTTCCATTTCTCTATTATTTTTATGTATATTCACTCTATACAGAATATCTCATTACCTTATTAAAGACAGCTTTATAGATTAAATACTTCTGTTCTTCATCAACTTGGTCTCCTAACTTAGTCACTTCTCTTTCAACATAATTATTTATCTCAGCTAGAAATAATCTGTCACCTCCATTACTTATAATGGGTGGTAATATAGAAAATGGGGATGTAGAAACTGATGAACGACTAGCAGATTCCATTGTGTACCAATGTCTTCTTTAAACAAACAGCCTTTACAATACCTACAAAATTAATTAGACATAAAAAATAAATGAAATAAAGAAATTAGACTACTGTGAACAATGTGGCAGCCAATGGTCCACATCTCAAAAACTGTTTGTCACTAGTATGATGTTTAAATTGAGAAGATACGAGTGAAGTTTGAATAAAATTTATCATAAGAATCTGTAAGAAATGGAAACCAGAAAAGCTCTAAATACATCATGTTTTTTCAGTGCCAGAGCTGCCAGAAGTACACACTGTGACAGTTTCAATATCAAAAAAGGCTCTGGCAGCTGCCTTCGCCTTTGATGTAAGGCAACGTCTAAGGTTTATTCATTTATGGCAAAGGGACCTTTTTATTAAGTTGCCCGTTTCCTGTTTCTACTGTTTGCTAATATTGAACTCAACACACTTTACTGCACTCAATCTCAACTCAAAACTACTAAAGTCAACGACAAAGCTTAGCAGGCATCAAGCACTTCTGTGTGCATATTATTAAAATACTTTAGTGGATACCTTTATTTTGTATTGGATATTACATATTTGTGTGACAGTTATCAGTTAATAAAATACTTAGTTATCGTTTTTCTTTTAACTTTTTCTCATAGGGCGCCATGTTGTAAACAAAGATCTGTCGTGGGGGAAGTGACGTCACGTTAAACATATCTCAGGTGCGCCTTCTTACCAAAATGAAGTCAGATTTTTCCTGATTTCTTAAGAAACAGAAAGGAGAAAGAAACAACTATATTTTACAAGGATAACCACTTAGGTTCACAGTCAAGAATTCTTTCTACCAGCTGGTCCTTGGCACTGATCTTTCCCGGATTATCCGTTCCCATTTACAGCTGGGTCGACTGGAATTATGAGTGAAGCTAGCGCTAATAATATGATTCTTTTTATCCTATTAACTTTCGTTACGTGGAACTCCGACGCAATTCAACAAAAAATACCACGGAATTAGAACCGGGCGATTTTATTCTGATAGATGACACATGAAATCGAGCTTTATCGACTGGTTAAGACAGTATAAAGACGACTATCCCCGATGACCCGAAACTTAGAAGGCTTCAGTTCAAACCCACACAACAAGCAATTTATGACAGCTGTAATCTATCTAAAAAAAGTCTCTCAAAACCATTTAAAGGGCATTATGTTTTTACGTAGGTCGGAAACGTTTTTGCTCAAATTTACGAAAACTTTATACCAAAATCTAGGAAATAAAAAACCAAAAAACGCCTAAAAATATATATATGAATCCTTATAATTCGAAAAGTCACAATCAAAAATATCAATAGTCTTATTACGAGGCCCAACACTTACAAATTAACCCTTTTAAAACAAATTTAGTTTGATCAAGTAGATACAAAGACGTAAATAGAAAATCTTATTAATATTTTCAGGTAGGGTTACGTTTTTGATAGCCGAATGAAAATTTTGCATAATTACCAGTATAATATATAGATTATTTAAAATTGATATATATTGCACTCACAAGCCAATGATGACAGGGCGACATTTTAGTAAAAGCCAATGACTTAAAAAAATCGCGAAAATGAAATCGTTTGAGATATCATCAATAAGCATTCCAAGTTTTTTTCACACCAAGGTGGTTTAAAACTGTCTGAATCAAGGAAAATAACCTATTCTTCGTTCATCCTAAAAGCGTGTAAATCTCATCAAAGATCCAATCAAAATATAGCTGTATTTTTTAGCAATGAAATAACTCAAAACAGTTTATCGAAAAATTGTATTGATCGAACTCATCTGAGATCTCATCAATATACATAAACGAAAGTCTGGTCAAAATCCGAATAGAACTGTATCCTAGTCCCCGTTGTTTTCAAACAAATAAATATACGTCAAAGGAAGATACTCAAAAAATTCAATGTAAATTAGTGAAAATCGAATTTATCGCAGATCTCAACAATATGCATATACATGTGCAGCAAGTTTTTCAAAATTCAATCAAAACTGTAATAAATAATGGATGACAATTGCATATTCAAAACTGTAGTTTCTGTCGTCTTTACAAGCCAATTTTTACGCTTTTTGACTACGCCCAGGGCAATAAACTGAAGATCGTTCATCAAATTCTTCGTTAAAATCTGATCAAAACTGTATTCTCTATCGCTAAAATTTTCGGTTATGTCAGTGACAATAACTCAAATTCATGAAAATTGAACTCATCCGAGCTCCCGTCTATACATGATCATTGGTTTTGGTAAAATAGGTTTTTGTCCGAGAATACTTAATCAATCCTCTCGACTCCATTGGAGGCTTGCCCTATGCGCTTCCACAGATTTGCCGAATTTTGAATTTGATTTCAACTTTTATCTCATGCACCATCACGGCACTATTGAGTAAACCTGCCCCCTATTTGTATCCCTAGTCTCGGGAGGCTTACACCACCATTGGTATTAAACCAATTTCCTTGCCCAATGAAAGCTTTTTTGGCACAATATTCATATTAAAGGGACATATTCGCCATTTTGGGGGTTGGTTTTAGTCTTGAATATTAAATAGTCTTTAGAAGTAGTGGAAATGTACGAAAATTGCATAAGTCCATTAAAAATATTTCAAACTAGGAATTTTACTTACTATTTCTTAACATGTCTCTTCTACTTATCACAGAGAATCTTAAATGACTGATTCGTTATTTAAACATTCAAACGCATATTATTCTGGACACACATGGATTTAAAGGCTCAAATTTGGAAGGTGAGCAGTGAACACTATTACTGATTAGCTTAGCTTAAAACAATTCCGCTTTCTGAGACTAAAGTATGATTGGTAAAAAAAAATGGTGCACGTCCCTTTAATATAATTGTTCTTGAATGTTGTCTTGAATTAACGCTTTTTTTTTTGATTGGCAAACATAAATAATGATGATTCACACAACACAATCGGTTAAAAATTTTATGAAAAAGGATTATATCGATTTCTAGAAATCAAATAAACGAAAGTTAGACTTCAGAAATGAAACAAAACCTGTTGATACATCCTCGAGATAGCATATGCACCAGAAAAAGGGCAGAACTTCGTGTCGTCCCAATATCTGCTGCCCCATCCGCTTAAAAATTTTAACTATAATCAGTTTGGACTAAATTTCATCCCAGGAGTGATTTTCCCATCCCTGAAAACATCAATTCTGTTCTCATTTTACATTTGACGTATATCCATGGAACATTCTGAGTGACCTTTTACGGTTGAATCTCCCGGACGGACTATCAGGTGTACCTAGCAATAACTTGGTGCCAGCCCGGTATTTTATTTAAACAAATTGAGGAGTCCGAAATACCATCAGTGAACAAATATTCTATTATAGTATCATCATGGTGTCTTTTATCAGGTGAAATGCTTTTAATTGAGACAAGCATCAGCTGCGTCACAACAAAGAAATGTTTGTACAACTTGCACATGCTTCTCCACGTGAGAGCCAGGAGAGCGATATTTATGGCTTTTTATAGCTGTATCTTGTCTTTGCAATTTCGTCTAAAAAAATCAACCAAATGCCTGCATCTGTAAATTTTGATATATAGAAACCATTTATTTACAATTATCACAGAAACATATAAATAATACACATTAACATCCTTGTAGGTTTATATTTTAAGCATGTGTTATTCTTGGTTTATATCTATGAGCAGCTTGTGGTTCAGCTATCTTCTTCTGAGGTGGTGCTTTCAACTCCATCTCCTTTATTCTAGCTTCTCTTTCAGCTTCTTGATTCCTGTGTAAGATTTGATTAATGCAGTATTCTGATTCTTGACCACATTCTGTTAATCTTAAATCCATGGTAGTAATGGTAGTATTTTCTTCCATGCCTTCTTGTAGCTGTTTACCTCCATCCTAAAATAACAAATACATCTATCAGTAATGATATTCAACCAAAACATCTGGGGGATATCAGGAATACGGAGCAATTGCTATAAATAATGTCATGACTGACCATGACCAGCAAAAATCATTATGAAATCTTCTGCCTATAAGAAGAAAATGGTAAATACAAAGATGACAAGAGTACTGGCTACATTATGTACTCTTGAAACAAATTATCGCTCAAGTCACCTGGACATTTCACAAACCCAAAAATTTGTTTCCACAATTCCAGGAAGTGATGTGAGGTGCTCTCTCAATTCCAAATACATTCTTCTCCTACACCAGTTGGCCACACCCCTGACACCATAGTCCCACACCCCAGGTTGGCAACTGGGCCCTAGTCCCACACCCCCAGGGGGTGAAAACACCCTAGGTTGGGAATCTGGGGCTAAAGTGAACTGATACTTACAGGCCCTAATCTATTACAAGACAGGTCTATAGAGAGTAAAGTCATATTCTGCATGACTACTTGTGACAGTATAGCTGCAGTAGGTTCAGCCATATCATTACTTCCCAAATTAATTTCTTTTAATGTAGAATTCTTTAACATGGAACGACAAATAGCTTGACCACCTTCATCACCAAGTCTGTTTAGTCGGAGGTTTAAATACTGGACAGTGTTATTTTTGGTTAAAGCATGAGCTATAGCTTGAGCTCCAGCAGCTCTAATCTGGTTATCACAAAGATTCAGTCTGATCAGTTTGCTGTGATTATTGACAAACTTTCCAATAGCTCGAGCACCACGATCGCCAATCAGATTGTGAGATAAATCAAGTTCGATTAATCCAGGATGATCCAAAATATGACTGATCAACACTCGAACTTTATCATCATCAACTTTACTTCTATGTAGTTTAAAAACTTGAAGATATTTGTGAGCTGCCACACTTTGAGCCAACTGCAAACAGTCTCTTGCTGTAAACTGAAATAATTGCCATTCAAAATTCATTCCACAATCCCTTACACCATAAGTTAAACTCAAATGTTCTAAATTGGGAAGTACTTTGAGCAATCCACCAAAATTAAAATGATCACATTCTGGTTCATCTCCTGCATCACTACCAGCATCAGAAGCATCATCAAAATCGGGACCTTTTGGTGCTTCACGTACTGGAGGTAATAATTGTTTTATTTCAACTCTTTTAACATAATTAGCAGATAAAGCAAGTGTCTCATTAAGATGTTCAGGGTCAGTGGTTTCAGGCACAAAGTGTTCAATTATTTCTTGAAGATTCTTTTCAAAATACATTCTCTTCCAATTCCCACCAAAATATGAAACATCACAGATCTCCCATCGAGCCTTACAACATCTCTTCCAGTAACCTTCATCATCAACCAAATTAGCCGTAACTTTCAGTGGAAGACTACTGGAAATTTTCTCCAGTACTTTGTCTTGATGTTTGCCCAATAAATCATTTAATATTTTGGAACTATCTGAAATTGATAAAACAAGAAGAGTTAGGTGTTATAAATATGTTCAGTTGTTAGATAGATGACAAAAAAGATGCATCCAGTAAAATATAAATATAGGATATAGGGAAACTATTAAAAACTATATTCTACACTAGAGTTACAACTTAAGAATGTCGACAGATGGAAATTTAGAACTTACTTTCAAAGTTGTCTACAATGTGCTTTAATACAAGTTCTGTAAGAAGAGGAACTGTGGCTAATGACCATTCAGGATCTTCAGCAATAATACGCCTCATGTTTCTCCAATCTGCTGCTGGGTTATCTTTAGCTGATGTGATAGGAGATGGAATGAAATCTCTCCCTTTCTTACTACCCATACTTTTACCACTCTTCAATGAATGAGCAGAACCTGTTCTAGATGGTGGTTTAGATCCTCCAGGACTTTTTGTTGGTGCTGCTGGTACTCCAGATCCATCCTGTTCTTTCAAATCTGTCAGTGGTGGTTCAGCCATCTTTTATTATGATAAGTTTCCACTAGCGTAATAAATAAAATAGAATGAGTATGTTAATGTTAGGCTATAGTATCATCGCAATTGCACGGCCCACAGGTCTACTTGAATAAAATGTTGATCAATTATTATTAGATCTAGCCTACTAGTCTAAAAGTAGGCGATTAAGTTTAGCCTCCAAAATAGTAAAGGTTTAAGTTAAAAGAGGGCTTAGGCCCTAGCCCTGACTCTAATTAAAATTAAATGTAAATTTGTTGTCGGAAAAGATCAAAATTTCCTATAATTTGCCAAACATGGACAAGCACGTGAATGTCAAAAGAATTAATTTTTCTTACAAAAGCAAAAATCTATAAGGCCAGGTTCATCAATTCATCATTTAAAAATTACCTTGAGTTGAACGAATCGAAGTGGATTCTCACTGGATGTAAACGTCGCTATGGAAATACAAAGGGAAACGGAAATATAATGGGTATGTGCGCGAGCATATTGTTTTCTCAAACGTACCTGCTATCAAGATGCGTTTCGGATAAAAAGTAACCACGTGGGATTTGCTTTAGAAGAAGGCCGAAAAACCATCAAATCTCAAATACAATAATTATATGAAATGTTTACAAGTGTAAAATAAAGTTAGTTTGATGAATAATTTCTTTACTTTCTTATAGTATATACAAAATGTTTACTTCCGGTTCAATACAATATGGCTGCGCCCATGAAATTGAAAAAGTAAACAAAAAATACAAAATAACTGCACTGACAACTGTCTTGTCACTTGGCCAATAGAGTAGATCTAATGCTAATTTAAAAAACAATACATTTATTTGTTTTAGGACCCTGAGGAACAAAATGTCTCTGAGAACTAACAGGCCGGGTCGAGGGGAATCAGAAGATGATTTGTTGAAATTTCAAGAAGAATTTTTGAAGTCAAAGAAATCAGATGAACAGTCTGTGCCATCGGCTGCTTGTGTATATAATGCTGAAGGGAATGAATCAGTTTTAAAGGGGAAAAGAAAATCTGAACCTGTCAATACAAATAAAGAGTCATCTGATGAGCTCACTAATGATTGTAAGTAAGGCTTTACACTAATCTTACATTATTTTCAGTCATTTTTATGAAAATTGAAATATGAAGGTAAAAGTTTTAGTCTGTAGTAGTAGATCTATAGAATGAAATGTTTTTTCTAAAAGAAATAATCCCACAGATATATGCTTAGTATCATAATCTTCACCTATTGTACTCGTAGAGTCATCAATTTCTTTTGATTCAAGAAAATCCAATATGTTCTTGCTACCAGAATTTGTAATTTAATTTATTTTTACCTAATGTAACACTGGTCTTTATTATTCACAGCTACCAGATCTAAATTAAGAACATTTGAAACAACAAAACCAAAGTCTAAGTATAAAAATGAGAGTCAACCATTGTATGAGGTTCCAGTTAAAGGTGATCAAGATTTATTAAATGGTATGTAGACTATTGATTCAATATTTTCTTTTAATTTTTTTAAACTTCAAATGAAATTGACAAGTAATTCTTTGTTTGATTTTTATGATAAAAACTGGTGAATTTAAATTTATACAGGGAATTATTTTCCTGTTTCAGAAAAAGGCGCCCCCTTGTCAACATTCCTAACTCAAATTGTGGTAAGTAATTTTTTTTTGAAATCATGATGAGTTACATTGAAGATATTTGTGCCGGCGTATACTTAAATTCAGCAAATGCGGTTTCCTCTAGATTTTGTCTTGTCTTTTATTTTTGAATTTTTACAAATTGACATTATTTTCCTAGGAAAGAGACACCAGAAATATTAATGTTGGTCTACCACAGCAGTCAGTCAATCCCTTTCCTACTGTTTCTAAAAGAGACACATCTTTCAAGGTATGTCAGTATTAAGATATATAGAAAAAAAATTCCTGTTCAATGTCTTTGGCTCCTATAATTCCATTGTTTTTTGTAATATATTATGGTGTCACCATGGCAAATCAAATTTGACTTGAATCCTTTTATACTGTCTCTATCCTGATTGTTACTTATATTACGAAAAGTGAATTTTCAAATACAAACAAAACTTGCTTGATAATCTTGAAGAGGGAAGAGGCTTTTGCCTATATAATCCTTCTCAAGAAAATAATATAGCAAAAATACCTTTAAGATGTTTACTAACAAAGTGTTTGATATGATATAATTGTAGAACATGTTATTTTAGGTTTGATATTTCTATTTCTAATTGTAGAAAGATGTTAGCAGTAAAAAAAGAAGTATATTTGCTCAGCAGTTACAGAAGAATACAGATAAACTAGATATAGAGATGAAAGATGTCAATAGACCCAGAAAAAAGACAGGTAAGTATTAAATATCAAATCAAAGCAGGTTCTAGATGCATTTAATCTAGTAAATAAACTGGCATCATAGTTTATACTATGAAAGAAAAGTATTTGATTGAATTATTGTCATGCTTAAACTAAATATCTTTTCCCTCCCTTTACCTTATAAATGATAAAATCACAGCCTCATTCCTTTTACTCATTTATTTTTTAGCAAATGACATTTTCAGTACAACACAAAGTATTAATAAAGTATGTGAAGAAGCCTTTTAATGTTATGGACAAATATTTTCATCACTATTATAGGTTTTCAGCCATCACAAATCATTAAGGGATCAGGCCTAAGTGTATCATTTGCTGAAAAAGAACAGAAACAGATCCATGAAGAAAATGCTGCGAAACTCGCTGAAATGACAGAAGCTGATATTTTAGAAGAACAGAAGAAACTAATGGGAAGTTTAGGTCGGTACAATGTTTGCAATTTTGTATGCCTTGGGTTAATTGTAATTCAATAAGAATACTAAAATGAAATATTACATTTGAATAAAGATGTTGGGCATTTTGATTTAATAGGTGACACTGTAAACAGAGTTTTGGCATGTGTTATGTATGCAAAAAGACTTTAAGATGTGTAGAATAAGTTTTTTTATTTTTGCAGACCCCAAAATGTTGTCTTTTCTAAGAAAGAAACCTAAGGAACCAGAAAGCCAGGTACTTCAGGAAAATTTGAACGAAAAACATAAAGTAAGCTTTGATACACCCAAGGAAAAGAAATTTAATCAAGGTTAGTCTGTATCTTATATTAAAGGAACAGATAGGCCATTTTTTTTACCAATCATACTTTAATCTCAGAAACTGAAATTTTTTTAGCTAAGTCAATCAGTAATAGTGTTCACAGCTCACCATCGAAATTTTAGTCTTCAAATTCATGTTTGTCTAGAATTATCCATGTTTGAAAGTTAAAATGACGACTCGTCAATTTAAGATATATAGACAAGACATATATAGAAACTTATATTTAGTTTTACATATATACAGCATGCAAATCTCCCCAAATATTCACTACCATACTCATAGTACATATATACAAAAGAACCACATAGACTTTAAAGATGTATTGGACTATGTGCATGCTGAGCAATGTATATAGTATATACTTATCTGTAGATGATTTACCAATAAAGACAGAAGAAGATTGGGTTGGAATGGATGATATAGAATATGATAAATTAGAATGGATGAAAGAATTACCACCTATCAAAACAGATAGTGGCTTGGTTAGTAGCAAGATTTTATACGTTGAAACTTTAAAAAACAATGTTAGAACCTAACCAGCTCTTTCATCCAATCAGCATTGGTTAAAATATTTATTTAGTGGCCCATTTCACTTCCTCCTACATCTTTTTAACCTCTGAAATTTTAATATGATCTGACTATTATTAATCAATGCTTGAAACTGATCTCTTACAACTAATTATTATTTTTTTAGGGTAAACAAGCTAGATTTGATTTAAATGGTGACTTTATACCAGCTGATAAAGATATACCATTAAATCAAGGGTTACATCACCATGGTGATGAACCACAGGTGAGTATACTTGTAATTTCTGCTTTAACTTGTACTTTCTTATCAATGATACTGTTAAGATACTCCTTAGTTTTAACTAATGGCATAAATGTCAATTCTTTTCTCTTTTATTCTTATTCAGAGAGCAGGATATACATTAGAAGAGTTGTTCCATTTATCTAGAAGTTCTAATATTCCACAAAGATGTCTTGTTTTAAATGTATTGGCTAAAATCATATTAAGAGTAGGTATATCTCAACAGTAATCTTTAGCTTTAGAAAAGTATCCTGCATAACTTATTTCTTATGGTTCAAATCTTTATCTATAATATTGTGCTTGATGTGGACTTGAAACTTTGCCTTTTTAAAGTCACAAAAGTTGACATTAGTCAAATCTTGTAATCTGATAAGCAAAATTTGCATTTATGACATTTTCAAAGTTAACTTTAAATATTAACTAAGATTGAAAGATTGAGGTTGAAAAATCGTTATTGAAATGCGTGTTAAAATCCGTTTTGTATTAACAAACTCTTTGTTGTCCTTGAAATTTTTACCAGGATGTAACAGTCTATACAAACTAATAAACAATATTTATTATTATTTTCTAGGCTAAACAAGGTTTATATGCTGATAATATACAAACATCTATATTACCTACTGTCTTACAAGCTGGTGTTGTATTTTTATTCCGCTGGGCGTTAGATGATAGTTCTGAAAGTGTTCAGATGGCAGCTATTAACACACTTTATAGTCTATTATGTTGTCCACATGATGAGGTATGGTAATGATTGTTTTGTTCTTAATTTTGATTACTTAAAGCTTTTCCACTTTCATTTTCTTGAATTTGATCAAAAGTTTAGTTATTTCCTGAAAATAAAAAGAAAATGAGAGAAAATTGAATTTTATTATCTTTAATTAATAGATTTCTTTATCAACAATGTACACTGTCTTCTATGTAAAACTGTTTGTGCATAAACATTTTTTGCTTAATTGAACTAAACAGGTTGCGATGGAAACAGTGTGCTGTTGGTATCAGGGATTGATACAGCCATGTTTACCTGGTGTAGATCAAGAGATAGATGATAGTGATGAAGAAAAACCACAAGAATCTGATGATGAAATGGCTAGAAGAGATTTAGTCTTGGCTCTAATCAACAGAATGATGATTTTACCTCGATTAAAATATCTGTTGATGGAGAAAAGGTTGTCAGCTCCATCTTTAGTTCAGATATTACAGATTTTTACAAGATTATCACAACATTCTCAATCAGCTGCTTATCAGGTATAATAAATGATATTATCTGCTCTTTCTAAACCACTTGTAGAGTGGTATGGGGTATGCTTTGTCTTTTGCTCAATAGTTAATAATCTTGTGGACTTCAAATTAAAAGTTTGGACTCGTTTCATAATTGGGTCTCATTAATGTTATCTGTTTCATTGGTGAAATTCTCCAAAGCATGTACGTGGATTTTGTTATCAGCTGTTTATCATCATGGAATATTTCAACAAACTATTTTTTTCATTTGCACATTACTTATGAACTTCTTTGATTTTCTCAATCAGCTTTTTATTACTATCATTAAATTATACTTATTAAATTAAAGTATTTTGAAATGTTACAAGATGAACATTTGTATAATTCAATTTACTAGATCCATTTCTTTTACAGATTCTTCATTGTCCTGGTCTAATGAAATACATATTTTCAGAGTTTTTACCAACAACTTGGACACCCATAGGTAATAACATATCTAAAGATTATTGTGATTGACTTGAACAAATAAAATAGAACTACAATTTTACAATATAAATTCATTACCTTACTCTTATTTTTAAAGAAATGTAATCTGACGTTTTGGATTACATAACTGCATTTTGAGTCAGATTGTCATAGTAACTGCACACTTGTTTGATGGTCATCTTGAAAACTTCATATATTGTTAATGAAAGTAATGATTTTTGTTTGATATATAATATACCCATGTAAATTGTAGAAGATGAGGTTCAGATAAAGATAGTTAGAGGTTATCCTGTACCAGAAGCTTTAAAACTTATTGTATCGCTATGTAAAAACGGAAAAAACATGGCAGCCATATTGGTAAGTCACTATTAATCTATGACCATGGGTTCTTAGTTTTCCTCTTCGTAGAACAGGTTCAAGAATTGTGAACTTCTTGATTAAGACATAAATTCTTTTTACTGGGAAATTTGAAAATAAGATATATGTAAGTATTTATTCTCTTTCAGATATCAACTTATAATCTTCAAGATATTATACAAAGATATATAGCTATACCACCAAAGTAAGTTATTTAGCTTTATGTATTATATTTCTAATAACATATTCATCTATAGAATATTAAAACCCTTTATAACTGATTTTTAATAAATAATATCTTAATTATCAGTTTTGCAAGTTATGACCTATAGAAGCAATGTTATATTATATGTTATACTTTAGAGACTTACAATTACCAGAAACTCTTAGTTATAATTTACAGAAACAATGTTATATTATATGTTATACTTTAGAGACTTACAATTACCAGAAACTCTTAGTTATAATTTACAGAAACAATGTTATATTATATGTTATACTTCAGAGACTTACAATTACCAGAAACTATAAGTTATAACTTACAAAACATTGTTATATTATACTTTATACTTTAGAGACTTACAATTACCAGAAACTCTTAGTTATAATTTACAGAAACAATGTTATATTATACTTTATACTTTAGAGACTTACAATTACCAGAAACTCTTAGTTATAATTTACAGAAACAATGTTATATGTTATACTTCAGAGACTTACAATTACCAGAAACTATAAGTTATAACCTACAGAAACAATGTTATATTATATGGAAAGTCTGTTTATCTTATGGTTTAATGGATGAACTTTATTTGTAAGTTGATTAATTTCTCAACATTAAAGGGATTGTTAAAATGTTTTCTAAGAACACTGGTAGCATCACTTTGCCCAATTCCAATTTTCAATCAGACGTCTGGGGTTCCTGTAATTCCACTAAAACTAACCAATTTATGACGTCACTAACCCCAAAGTCCTTATATTTTGTCAAATTTTGAAAAAGAAGATATGACTACTGCCTGAAAATTGTTCAGATTATTGTAATTATCATAATTTCTATTTTCCAGAAATATGTATTCAGTGATAGTAGAGAAGATAAGAATAATACATCAGAATATTATAAATAATAAATATAATAACTATATGGTAATATCAACATTAGAGTCTGTATTACATGTAGCATCTATAACTTTACCTCATTCTAAATTTATCTCACAGTAAGTTTCTGCTTTTTGACGACTTCATACCTTTTTGACAAGAAGTCATGATTTTGACATGGTTTCGATTTCATATATATTTTTGTAACGAAGACATGACTCGGATTAATACAGTTTTGTAGAGAAGTCATGATTTTGACTGGATACATTTTGGTAGAGAAGTCATGATATATTTTTGTAAAGATGTCATGATTTTGATATGATATACATGATTTATATTTAGAGAAGAGGTAATGGAAGTAGAAGAAGAAGAGAGTGGTATAAATGAACCCATGATTAATTGGAGTAATATTACTGGTCTATATCAACCTATAATACAATGTTTACAACATACATTACAATATATTGGTAATCACTATCAATTTCAGGTATGTGCTCAAAAATGTTCAAAAGTCATTGTATTTGTGGACATATATAGTATCTTTTTGCACCAGTTCAATTTGAATCAAAAATTGCTATTGTTCCTGTTATTTTAGATTAACTTGATCAGCTTATAATATTTGCATCTAAAAAACTTACTGCATCAAAATATGATTAGATATGATAAAATGACAGTGAAAAGATATGGAATATAGCAAATAGAAGTAGTAAGTGTTCATGATGCACGGGCACTGAATGGAACACAACAAAATTCCTTTCAGAAAACTAGCCTTAAATTTGACACTATTTTTTAAGACTTGTTTAATATGTTTTTTATTGACACTATCTACATTTTCAAACTTTAAGATGAGTTGAATTAAGTAATGACTGGCTTTTATGAGAACATACAAAGTATTGTCTGTTTAGTTTAGATTGGTCTGAAATACTACAATAAGCCTTGATAATGATATTGATTCTGTGATTGTGTATATTTACAGAGAGAAGATTTATCAATGATAACTTGTTTAACTAATTATATAGCAGGTTATTATGAGAAAATAAAACATCAGGTAATTAAACTATAGATATTATTTCCCATAAAATTTATATTTGTATTGTATTGTACATAATGTATATTATTTGTATGTACAATAATGTATAATAAATAGTTTTTGATCAGACATATCATATATCTTAATTGTTTTTAACAGTAAATGTCAAGGTAAGGATTTAACAATAGAAAAGTTATTTAAGTTTGACAGAGACAATTTGTATTCCAGGTTGGTTATAATGCAGTAGAAACATTACAAACTATAGAGAGGTTATCTTCTGATGTATTGATACCATTTTGGAAGTCACTTGGTTTTCATTCAATATTATCAAATATCAGGTAATGATCTGTAACAATATAGCCTGATGTCATCTGATTCTTGGTTTGTCTCATTGTAAATCATAGGGAATTTCCATATTACTTTCCAGCACTTTTTGCAATAAGAGCACACACAATCTCAATGGATCTTTAATCTGCTCAACCTGTGGCACTGAGGTCTTATCTGAATGATTGGACGCTTTTTCAACATCACTGATAAAAGTTTGTGTTACGAAGATACTTTCTCAACCAGTGTGGAAATCAAACCCCTGATATTTCAGTTTCTGAGCAAGTTCTTAACAACAGTAGCACCCTCGACTGATTTTAGATAATTGGTACTGATACTTGTTCTGTTACCAAAAGTTTTTGTTGATGTGTAATGTGTAATTGAGCTAGTTAATTCAGTAAATATTTCAGTGTGTTGAAAGTAACACCTCTGGTACTATATGGAAGGCATTCCGTCTCTATATTCTTTTGTATTATCTCTAAACAATGTCAAAACTCAGTATTATATGCTTGATGTATTATAGATTTGTAGGATGTCTGTTCTGTAGACAGTAATAATAAATGTACATTGAAAGTTGTGATCAAGTTTTAAGCTGATTATAACAATCTATTTCAGTCAGTATTCCAACTTATTATCAGACAGTATTAAACATGATGAGAGAACAGAAAGTTTACCAGATTGTGGTGGTGGATGTTTAACCAACAATACAACTTTACCTATATTACAGTCCACTTCACCATTTGGTTTTCTAACTTCTTATCTTAGATTGGTGTTGATTTGTTGTAAATTACATAAAGGAATGATAGATCAGGTATTTATGACTGTGGCTTCAAAATCCTCCAGTCTAACATGACTAAGCCTACAGAATCACCTATAAGAAACTTTCTCATTCTTTGAATGTTCCTTTTGGGTACAGGTATCGCTTATTTTGAGTAAATAAATATCAATCAATGTAAAGGCACTTGTTAGATAATTTAGCAGTACAATATTTTCAATCCTCAAAACAATTTTACTGCACATGTTGTAATCGGGACAAAATCAAGTAAGAAGTTTGAGTTAAGAATTTAACTTGTAACCATTTATTCTTTTTCAAATTTCAGATGATACCAATGATAGTTAATAATGAAGATATGATAAGTTATATGAGAAATATCTGTCAAGTCAAAACAAGTACTTTACTCTTGAATTATTTTACAAGATTTGAGAATATATTTCAATACCAACTTATTAAACTATCATCTTTAAAGGTAATTTGCTAGGAAACATGTATAAAAAATTATTAGTGTGACTCAATAAAACCTCAAAGACAAAAATGAGGCACTGGATTTCTTTTTTTACTTTTTCTTGGATATTGTTTGAATATAATCAAACAAATAATAAAGTAAAGAGTTCCAATTTGGCATTGTAAAATTAAACCGTTGAATTTGTGGTAAATCTCATAATATACTCCCAAATACATAATTTATCAACTTCATATTTCAAGATATCATAAAAACTATTGTTTATTATAGGAATGTAATGAAATGAAAGTTTATCACCATGTTTCTCTACAACTACTAATTAGATTACAATATGGTGATGAATATATTATACATGATTTATTATCATTTATTGTCTTTTCTTCACAATATTTAAGGTAAAGACCTCTTGACTTTATTTTTGTATTCATGTATTCTTGTGCATCAACATATTATGACTGTGCACTAGCTGCTGGACTTGGGATCAATAGAGAAAAAGGAAAGTCTAATTTTGGTTTTAAAACTGAGATTTGATCTAAGTTTTTTTCTTGACTTTGGGCCTTGTTGACTTATCTGCTAAGTTGTCTTGTCTCATCTTATGTTGTCCAACAGATTCATTGTTATCCATACTATTTCTAAACTTTTTTACAGTGAATACCGTACAACAGATGAAAGTTTACAGTCCATGGCCGATCTGCAACTAACAGACGTTAAAAAATTAAAGAGTGCCACTCAAGAGGAGGTTACTCTTGTGACTAAACAATTGATAGAAACAGCAAGAAATAATCTGTTATCTGGAAGCATAAGAAATGTGTATCTCACATTATTTAGTGGAAAAGAGAAAGTTAGTGCTAAATCAAGGTAAAAGGTACAGTTATTCAAGAAGAGCCACAGATAAAAATTATAAGCCAGGGTTTGGCTGTTTGATGCTTTCAGGATGTTTGCTACCATTACATTCACATCCAAGTTTTTTAAAACTTCAATTCTATTTTAGAGCCAGATTTGGTAATAATCCAACTCAGATAGATAATTTGGTTACCAATAAAATAGACAATATACTACCACAAGACTGGATGTTCTTACCCCTGGTAGAATTATATAACCAGTCTTCACTCAAGTAAGTATCTTGGACATTATCAAGAAATAAGAAATATATTATCAGAACGAGAATAAAAACTCAGTATTCATATCTGTAGATTTGGGTTAGTTATACGCTCAGGTGATAAGTATTATGTGTTATGTAAATTAACAGTAATTATTGCATAATTTACCTTAGGAAATGTTCAAATTGAATAAATATCCAAACACTGTAAACACAAAATTTTACTTCTTAAAGATCTAATTGTAGTATATTTTATTAATGATTTAACCATTCACCTATTTTAATTTTTGAATATTTATTATAGGGGATCTCACTTTCAAGATCATATGCCAGTAGAGAATATTAGAATGGTATCTACTGTATTACAATGGATCTATTTATTAGAATGTGAGAGGCTAGAAATATTAAGATCTATCACTATTAGTATCAAATTATCCAGAATAATGTGTGTCTTTCTGGCAGGTTGGTAACTATAATTATAATCTTCCAGGTTAATCAAATTTGCATAGTTTGCAGGTATAAGGTCTTAGATGGCAGTTATGATGGGTGTGGCGCCAGGCAGGGTATGCTTGCTCTTCTAATGAAATATTTATGATTGATATACTTCCTCATGTGAAAAGTTCATTATCTGATACCAATGTTTTGGTAAAATGTTGTTTCATATTTGGGTTTATTTATGACATAATTTCATCATTAAAAATGATTTCATTGGTCTTTTTAATTTGCCCTTTTTTGATGAATGGTCAAACTGCACATGTCCAACAATGATTTGAATAAAAACCTATACAACAAAACAATAGCTTTATTATAACTATTTATTCTTCTAATTGTTATTCTATTTTTCTATGTTTTTTTTGTTTTTAGGCAACGATTTATTTCTGGAGAGATGTATAAGAAGCTATTTAGCAGCTTTATTGAGAGAATATAGTAAACCTGTCTTATTACAACAAATAGATTTCACTCTAGCAATACCTGGCTTACTTTCTTTTTATGATTTGTAAGTTCTATTTTTTTTATTTTAGAAAATATTAAGATTACTCCTTCAATTTGTATGTAAATCATAAACAAATGATCCCACACTTCTGCAGCATAAAGACAAAAAAAACTTCAGACCACAGTTAATTAGAATTATCTCCCTTTGACCATGATAATGTGTGATCAGCCATATTTTATAGACCAAAGAATGTTAACAATTTAGGTAATAAGATTTATGGAAAGGCAACTTAGTTGGACATGGAAAAAAGAAATGTCAAAAAGAATAATTTTTTATTGCATGGTTGACTGAAATTAAAGCTCTCATTTCATATTTTTGGCTACTCTGTCAAACCATTATATTATTTCATTATAGATATCAGTCATTATTAGAACAGTATGGAGCAGTATCATTTGGTGATTCAGTGTTCTGTAGTTATATATTAATACCATTACAACAACATCACTCTATAAACTATAGACAATCATTATGGAGTGAACATCTAGATGCTCTCAGAGCAGTAATAATATCAACTGATGAGGTAGGTACTCAGCTTCAGAATTTGTGTGCATATTTGGCTGAATATTTTTGATGTTATCAATTTTCCTGTTTTGAAAAAAATATTGTTGAGAGATATTTTCATTTAAATTAAGTTTTATCAGATAATTATGGTAAATTGTTTCATGGCTGTATCTCTATTATATAGAGCGAGAAATTAGTACTTGTATTTTCTTTTCACAAGTAATATTCTTGATAAGGGGGAGACTATTGCAATCTGTTCAGTTGATATCACAAAATTACCTCTCTTCGACCACATGGCTGCTGATTTTTAAGAAATTACCTCTTTGAAAATTTTTTTGGAGAGTATTTTGATGATTCCTCTCTCATTAGATTATATTTAACCTCATTTTTGATTCATTGTTCTCAAAGAAACTCTTTTATGTATATTTCAGTTGTTATTGCCTATAGAGAGATTTTTAGAACCAGATGAAAGTGACATTAGTCTAATACAGATATATTGGGTTCAACTAACACAACTGATACAACCAGTTAGAAACCCCTTGTTATATCTTATAGCTGTACATCATATTAATAGATTTCTATATTATACACAAGACCACCAACATCAAACATTCAGACACACGTTATGGTCCTGGGTTAAAGGATTAAAATCTGAGGTAGGGCTTTTACTGATTTTCAAAGGATTTTCTAAAGCATTGCAAAGGTTTAATTGTATTTTTTAGTCATTAAGGCTTATTTTCAATGCTACTAGAATAATCATTTTTCTGACTGGGCATCATGAAAGTTTTAATATGTTCTTTTGTCTAGTCACAAAATCTTTTTATTTCATGATATTGGCTTTTCTTTTTTCAGTCGTTGAAGAAAGCTGTGATATTTTATAAGAAATATAATCAAGATTGTGAATACTCTATGGAAATTTATACAGATTTACCATCCAATAGACAATTAGTTTATAATGAGTATATCAACAATTAGATGAGAAAGAAATCGTGTTTTATATGTTACAGTTTATCTTATTAAGTGTGATATTTGTATATAAATTATGTAATGTATGTAATTTCTAATCTTTCAACACAAAAGCAGTCATTAGAGTTCATTCAATGTTATTAGTCCACACAGAAAATTTTACGGCAGTGAATCAGCCAAATATTGCCAGAATAAAATTTAATAGAAATTTCATCAATATGCATAGGATTGCCTCTCATTCATGGACAAAGGAAAATGGTAACAGATATAATTAAAAAGAAGAAAAAAATTGATTGATAATGAAGATTTTCACATTAGGAAGTTTACAAAAAAAACACCAAAGATTGGAACATTTAATGACAAAGTAAACACAATTTGTTACAACAAAGACAATTTATTTATAGAATTCATGTTCTGTTTCATCTTTCTTGATGTTATTCTTATATCCTTTCTCAAAATCTTTAGCTAATACAACATATCTATTTTCACGTACAGCCTGCATTCCAGCCTGAAATTATAGATCATAATAAAATAATTCACATGTATAACAAAAACATCTTAAAGGAATTGAAGAAGCTCAAAATCCCTGGCTGATGTCAAGCACAATTTGGAATCATTTACGTTTGGAGACCCTATTTTTGACACTCTGGCACTCTATAGAGAGTTCTGAATAGGTTCTGTCTATTCCATTTCTGGCCGGAATCAAACTGTTGAAGCAGATATGTCACATTTAAAATTTTTCCATCCATTTCATATTGCGTCGATTTTCTTTCCTACCTCTTGACATATGGCATTGATGTCAGCACCACTAATTTTATCAGGTCTAGCTACATAATCTTCTAAATCTACTTCTTCACTTAAATTCATTTTAGCTGTTATAGTAGAAAATATCAAACGTTTCTGTCGTCTGTCAGGTAGAGGGAATTCTATCTTTCTATCCAAACGTCCAGGACGTAATAAAGCAGGATCTAATGTATCAGCTCTGTTGGTAGCCATAATAACCTACAAATAAACAATATGATAAGGTTTTCGACACATTCACCATGAACACGAATCATGCTTATTGGTTCAGCATTTTTTTTATTTGAAGAACACATTAAAAAAGCTTCCAAGACGAGGAAAGAAATTTATGAAGGATATCTTACCTTGACATTAACTGTTTGATCAAAACCATCCATTTGATTAAGTAATTCTAACAAAATTCTTTGCACTTCTCTGTCAGCTGTAAGTAATGAAGGTAGAAATGAAAATGGTATTCTAACAACAATGAGGTGCCAGGAAATCAGGAAATCTATCAACCAACATACTGTCAATATTTTTCAGTATAATAGTATCTATCTATAGCTAGGCCAACTGGGATAACTATTAAAAATGTATTCAAAGTCTGAGATAAGATCACTATGCCCTGGAAGTAGGCAAGGTAAAAGTCTTGAGACACTCTTTAAACTCTTGTATATCTGAGACTCAACTTTATTGTAATAAACAACTCACCTCCTGTTTGAGCATCAAATCTTTTGGTAGCTATTGCATCAATTTCATCAATAAATATAATAGCTGGTGCATTTTCTTTAGCTAATCTGAAAACATCACGTACCATTCTAGGTCCTTCACCTAAATATTTCTGTACAAACTCAGATCCTACTACTCGGATGAATGCAGCTGAAAGAACAATATAGATTTAGATCACCTTCAATACTTATACATCATATACTGAATAATTCATCACCAGAAACAAAGATTTCCCTATCAATGAAAGGTAAGATAATTACTAATGCTATTGTTAAAGTTTCACATTCACCTTACCATGATTCAAAAGATAGAAATTCCGAACATAAACATTCTGGATGCGTTTGTATTTGCCAAAATTCACACAACAACCTGTTAACTAACCTGTTGTATGATGAGCTACAGCTTTAGCTAACATAGTTTTACCACAACCTGGTGGTCCAAACATTAATACACCACGTGGTGGATCAATACCAATCTGTTTATACAGTTCAAAATGTGTTAGTGGTAACTCGACAGCTTCTCGAACTTCTTGTTTCTGTATATCCATACCACCAATATCTGCATATTGTATGTCTGGCTTCTCATCTACAAATAGTCAATATATTTGCACAATACAGTTAAGTTCATTATGTGAGCCAACAAATTCCTTGTTATACTTAATATGGTGATAATTTGATTTAAATGAGATAAATTTTTAATTAGCATCAATCAAAAAATAACTTTATTGAAATTGTTTTATGGAAAAAAATTACTATAAGAAATATATTGATAAGTCCCAGAAGATATTAATGGTGATGAAATCAGTATTTACAGCTGTGGATGAAATGCTACTTTTGAGTTTGCTTGAATACTTACCAGCAGACAGCATAGTAATACTGCTATCAGCTTCAGGTGGTAAAACATCTACTAAAGCATTACTATGTTTATGTAGAGCTACACTAGCAGATGGTTTGAGTAATTCTCTATCTATTGTTGATAATATTCTTACATAATAATTAGAACCTAAAATACATAATATAATAGATTATAATTCATTATTGTACTAATGAGAATTGTAAAAAAATTCTTATAATTCAATCAAATATAATTTACATCTCATTGCACATGAGCTTAAAGAAAAAGATTCGAAAATTGATCCCCGTGCAAATAAAACAAAATTTCAAGAATCCCTTTGAGTTTCTGCAATTTAAAAAGGTTTCATTAATTCCTGTAGTTTTTAAATTAATAACTTTAGAGAAATCTCTTCCAATATTTTATAAATTTACCTGTAGTCGATCCAACTATACCATTATTTTGATCAACAGCTTCTAGAAACTGACCAATAACAAGTGGTACACTCTGTATTCTCTTGACTTCTTCTTGGGCATGCAGATATTCTTTCTTTAAATTCTTTTGTTCATCCTTTATATATTCTTCTTGAACTTCTAAAAATTCTAGCTGTCTTTGAAGTTTCTACAATAAATACCAAGAGAATTGACATAGCTGATAGCTAAAAATTGATTTAAATTGAAAAGCAAAGATCTTCAGCGAATTTTTATGTATTGTAACATATTCAGCAAGGCTGTTTCAAACTAAATGATTTATACAAAAAAAAAGAGAATGTGAACCTTGTATTTGATATAAAGATCTTCCATATCGACTGATAATGGATCAGCATTGTTCACTCCTTGACCAGTTGTTGGTCTTGAGTCTGTTATCATGGAATCCTCCTGAAATACAGAAAATGACATTTAAATTTCAATCTTGCTTTCAAAGTATTTGTATGTGAGAAAGCTTGATCCTTTCATTTTCGATATTTTCGTAGTCTTAGTCTGAGTCTAGCGTCTACTTGGTAACTTTAGTCTTTGACCTAGGCCATTGTGGATTGTGATTGTGCATTGAAGTCTAAAGCAATCACTTCAACTTGTAAATTTAAACTCAGACATCAGGTCCCCAGAACTTCTGACCGTCGTATATTTATTTTAATCTAAGGATTTTAAAGAATGATGAAGCAAAATTCATAATTTTATATCGATAGAATCCAGTAGAAAATGTTATGATTGATACACTATGTCACAGAATCAAACTAAAAAGTCAAGAAAACTAAGTAACGTCAGGGAAATATAATGGGAAGCAGATTGGGTTGTAATTTACAACTACGGGTGACAAAATTAAGAACCTTTTCAGATACGGCAAGTCCGATTTCCTCCATTTTGCTTGGTTTCCTAATATTAAAGAATATCTTATGTAGTCTCTGACACTCAGACTTCGCCTTATGTTCGACGATGATGCAGACAAAGTGAGACCGGATGATAGAGGCTTATTGGATTCTGTAGAGTGTTCAACCAACGAAAGAAAATCGCATCACATTATTGTCTCATGAACTTGGAGCAAAAAGAAGTCGAACTTTGTAGAAAAATCTTGTAGAAAAATCAAAAAAATCGGGAGACAAAGAAATTTGGCGTATTTTGATTTCAAGCAAAACAAGCAAGTTTGGAGTTTGTACGCAGCTGCCACTTTGCCTTCCGCGGAGCTGGAATTCCTGTCACGTGATGAACACAATTGTGTTGTTGTGGAGAGGTCGCCATGTTAGATAGCTGTCAGAATAATCAATGTCAATAATTAATGTTGAATTTAACGATGGATTTTAACTTTTATGTTTTGATTTTGTCAGCAACGATAGAAAGCCATGTTGGACATTAAATCTACCCGTAAAGTGTTGTTACTTGCGGTTGGATTACCGTGTTATTTAGGTTAATGGCTAGTAAAGTTCAAGTTGCTAAGTTCCCGTCGGCACTGCATGACTTCAATGATCTTGAAAGAGCCCGCATGAAACCACGATCAAAAGGAGAATGGAATATGGATGAGGATGATGTATTAGATGGCTTATACGATGATAGTTTTGCCTCAAGAGTAGAAATCTTGGAACAGTTGTTATTAACTGTCAAACATAATGGGGGCAGACTACCCTATCATGACCAGCTTTCAATATTTCAAGGATTAGCCCAAGCCTTATCAGCAGAACACTGGGAAATCAGATTGAAATGTACACAGTTGATTCACGAGATCATCCCAAACTTGGGAGAAAATTTGGATACCTGTATGGGTGTTGTCATGAAAAGACTTTTACCAAATATTGGTGATACTAAGATTTCTGTGAGAAGAGCTGTTATTCAGTCACTTCATGTTTATATGATTCATGTTCAAGATCCCACTATATTTTTGCATAATATTGTGCAGATAGGGCTTGAAAATGATAACCCAAAAGTACGGAGGGAAACTATTAATGCCCTGCCAGTCCTTTTGACAAGAGAGTTTTCGCATTTGAATTTGTATGAAGTAACACAAAGTTTGGCAAAAAAATTGATAGATTCATCTGTTGAAGATAATTTGAGGGATCCATCCCTTTTTACCATGAAGAAAATAGAGGAGTTAGTAGGTGATCCAGAGTTTAATACTTATCTTCAGCGTTTAGCAGCTCCAATCAGAAGATATTATCTCCAACTAACAGAAAGAGAAGATGAAATTAGAAAACCAACACCAAAATCAATTTCAGAATATTCGTATAGTGCTCCAGCCAGTTCACGAGAACAGCGGGTCATGGGTATGTCATCAAGAGAAAATTCAGAAAGAAATGGATATCAATATGAACCACGTCAGACTGGTGCATCTGCTAAGTATATGGATAGTTTAGAATTTGGCATCATCTCTAGTCAGCTAATGAATCGCTTGAATGATCAGGATAATTTTCGTGTGAGAGCTCAAGCTGTTGAAGAGTTGAAGAGTATTGTTGGTGGATTGATTGCAAGTGATTTACAACATCAGCTTGTTCCCCATATGATAGCATTTATCAGTCTTTTGAACAATTTATTAGATGATCCCAATTTTAAAATCACAACAGTAACGCTTGAAATTCTATGCCTGACAGTTGAAAAACTTGGGTCTAATGTGAAAATGTTTCTGAAGCCATTGGTTTTGGCATTATCTAAAAGGATGGGTGACACTAAAATAGTTGTTCGTCAAGCTGTAATGAAGGTTGCAATGAAACTGATGCAGAGTTATTGTGCTCATCCAGTACTAATTGTAATTTGTGAAAATCTTCATCATCGCAACTCTCGCGTCCGGCAAGAAGCAATAAATATCGTAATAGCTGCATTAATGACATTTCCAAGTTATGACTTTGCTTTGTCTGATATCTGTGAAGTTGTTGGACCATCTCTAACTGATCCGAAAAGGCAAGTCAGACAAGCTGCTTTGGAATGTTTTGCAGCTTTGGCACAAGCCATGGGTGCAGGCAGATTACAGCCATTAGTGCAAGCTGTTGATAATGTTGAACTTAATACTGAGAGAGAAGGGGAAGGATTAATGAGTGCTGTTCAAGCAAGATTAGCAAGGAGACAGTTACCAAGATTAAATGTTGATGGTCTTGTTGAATATGCTACACCTATTCCATCTTCAGCAACTCATAGACCCCCATCAAATCAAAGTCAAGGAGCTGACATGGATTGGATTTTGGCTGTGGGAGGCGGAAATGGTTCAGCTCGATCTACTCGAGCTGAAGTAATGGAAATTGAGTCTGCAGTTTCTTCTGCTAGATCAACCCCATACACATCTGATCAGAAACCTAATGTAAGGAGATTTATGAGTGCTGGAAAGGGAAGAAATAGATTACCCTGGGAGAATGATGATATTGGTGGAAAAAGAGTTTATGACAGCATGAGCTTACCTGCCTCATCCTCTTCTGTAAGTAGACTTGATTTTCTGGATATTTCGCACATGGTTTTTTCTACTCCCAGAACTTTTTTCAGTTTTTTTTTTTACAGAATAGAATTAGAAAACGGTTACTGATACCGTAGCAATTTAAAGCTTAATTTTCCTCGTGGTTGCACACGTTAGGTTTGAGTTTTGGAGTGGGCTTGAAAATTATTTTATTTTTCTACCAATGTCCAGTACCCTTTACAAAATTATCAAAGTCTATTCCTAATGGATTAAGTACATTTTTCTTCTCCTGCCTTTTATCTTTTTTTTTTAATTCGACATTCTGTTATTCAGAATTTTTTTTTAGGTCAAAGACCTGGCAACTTCCTTCGCTTGAAAGCCATAGATAGAAAACAAAGCATTTAAATCAATATGATATAGAATTCATCTCAAATCTTACATTACTATACAATACAACTGACTGCCAGAGATCTATATTAGGCTTCTCTAGTGAATATTTTATATTGCTGTATGGTTGGTAGATTATGAACCTATAGCAAGGATCGGCAGTGTTAAACAGTCAAAGAGTGTCAATTGTTTACTCTCCATATTGTTTATATTTTAAAGGGGTTGAAAAGAGGTTTTCTAAACTTTTAAGTCAGAAGTCTGAGGTTCTAGCAATACACTTTCGATATTGATATGGATGTAATAAAGTATAAAGCACTCTGATTTATGTCACGATTGAGAGATGATTCTCCAAAATTAATGACCAAAAAATAGGCATTAAATGTCTGGTCATAGAGAGTGACGATATTACTTCTCAGAGGATCTGGGTAGGACCACAGTTGTTGTCTGACTTGACCAAAACATCAGATCTGCATCTATTCCACCTTTTGATAGTATATTTTGACAGCTATCGACTGGAGTAGAGTCAGAAAAACTACACCTCCAAAGATGCGTTATTTCTAATATTTCTATCAGGTGACTCTGTGACCCTTGAACTTTTGGTTATAAATGGCCAGAGAAATCAGTTTGGTCACAAAAACAAAATTGATGAGACCACAGACGTGACAGTGTTGTAGGGGAATAAGGATTGTATGACTGAACTTGAGTTGTGGAAAAATCTTACAAATCATTGCCTAGTTTTTCTGTCTTTATACCAGCTGACAACTCAAAATAACAATCAGAGGCTGGAATAGGGGCAAATGTTTCTATTATCTGAAACGATGTTAGATAAGTGCTATTCAAAAAAAGGATTTAACTGTTTACTGACTGCGTGGGTGACGGTATTGAGCCCTTTGTGCTGATGCTCGTTATTTTTTCAATCCCTAAAATTTTTTACAAGTTGATATAAATGAAAGATCTGGTTTTTACAACATAAATATTTTGATTTTTATTTGAATTATTTCCTAGAATATGACCTTGATAAGATAGTAAACAATATAGGAGATGATGTCTGTGTGTTTATGTATAATTGAGTAGCTGCTTGGCGACTAGTCTTGATTATATAAACAATCATATTAGATAAACTGATTGAAAACTATCCTGTTAAATTTGATTGTAAACTATATTATATTATGTATTGATCTGATAGAAAAGGATAATGAAGCTTGAGGGTATGAGGATGGTGAAGATAATGTACCATACCATAATTATGTAGTATACCATACTTATGTTACTATAGAATTATCCATCGCTTGTTCTTCATATCACCATTGTATTATAATTTGCTGTTAGATAACATTCATTCAACAGTTCTAGATAGGGCTGGTATTGATTATCAAATTCAGATTGATTATCTAGGGCAGGCTATCAATCAGTTGTCACAAAATTTTTTAACTGAGATATCTTTTAAATACCGGTACTAAGTGAAAAGCACTTCCTAAATGGAAACTTTGTAGAAGAGATAATTGATAATCTAAATTGTAAATTCATACCCGACCCTAGTTTAGAAGATAGCAGTATGACTGTAGGTGAAATATTTCATGCTGGAAATAGTTGCTACTCTTTCAAATTTATAAATTAAACCTTCCATTGGTCTGTTATGTTACCTTTTCTGCCAGACTTTCAAGGCTTGAAAAAAGTGTCCGGACACGAACATTGTCCGGTACAATTTCGGCAAATTTCTGGTACAATTTCGTTTGAGCTGGACATTTTTTTTTGTGTTGAAAAGATTGTGAATTATGAGCGATTTTGACTGTTAATATTGCCAATAGACGTCAAAGTTGTTTGTGGGCTTTATCGTTCCCCGAGAGTCACCGGGATATATATATAATCCCTATGGCCTTATTGAATGACGTAAACTATTCTTAGCTAGTTGTTAACCTGTATTGCACTTGCAGGTGAGGAAACGGCGAATTTCAGTCCTAAATTGATGGGTTCTAAATGCAATTTTTTCAACTGAAAATACCACATTTTTTTATGCCCAGTACAAAATTTCAAATGTCCAACACAAGTTGAAATGTGCCAGATAAAATGTCCGGCCCAATATCTAGAGTTATTTCAAGCCTTGCAGGCTTTCTTCATTTGAGTTTAAGCTCATAAGCTTATTGTTAAAAATAAGAAAAAAATAAAATTCTTTTTCAGCCTTATATTAGAAATAATTTAAAGATATATCAACCCCATCCCTACATGCAAACAAGTAATATACATTGGTTTAATATTAAATATTAAGCCCCATTCACATGGACAAAATTTACTCAAGTAAACAGATGTTTTACCCGCCACCAGGCACTCTAAGTAAATTTACCTTATAAGTAAGTGTCCATGTGAATGGGGCTTTAAATTATTTTAAAGTTGATTTTAAGTTCCAAGAAAAAGTATTGGAAAAATAAGATTCCGCTTCCTGTGTGGTCAAAAGAATAGCCTTGAACATGGTATATATATCTGACTAGTAATTAATTATATGAATGTTATTGACAATAAGCTCAATATATTTTATAATAGAAAGAACATTGTAACATTGATCACAGTATGTAAAAGCCTTATTGATTTTCCAGATTTTCAAATAATAACTCAGGCAAAACATACTTTGATTATTTCTACTATCATTGTGTGATATTACCAAGTGTGACAGACTACTGAATGTTAAAATCTTCTGCACACAGATATATATACAAAACTTAAGGAAAAAAACAATATTCTTCATACATTTAGATTGAAGAATTTTTAAAATGATTATTTCAAAAATAATCTCTATGCCTGTTAAATAATGAAATTCCAAAAAAAGAATGAAATTTTAGTTGTAGGCATAGATGAATACTTTAATGGACATTTACATTTTACATGTGTGTATTGCTTATTGAAAGATTGCCTGACTTCTAGCATTCCCTATAAACTGTATGATCACAGATAACTACAACTAGGGTCAACAACAAGATCCTAGAAAGTAGAACTCAAGTAACTTGCAGCTGTCAGTGCACATTTTTCAACTTATATCTAGTGATTGATCAGCTAATCTGCGATGCCACCAGTTTCTAGTAGTTATAGAAAATCAGGTGAACCTGAGACCCTCTCTTAACTGTCAGGGAATAAACCCAGTGTACTCTCTCATCACATGCTCCACCAAGAAAGTTGGACATACCTTTACTGGTTATGACAAAAGACACAGAATGGCTTTTTGAAAAATCATTCAATATTTGCTAGAGATTGTAGCAGTATGAGTGTTGACTGATAAGAAGAGACTATTGATTTCCATTACCTAGTTGAATGTAAACAAGAAATGAAAGTAATCATTGATGGTGAAATTTCTGATCAATTTAATGATTTTATTTTGTTTCTGTCATGTTGTTATTTGATCTCAATGTACTGCAGATAGATCATTGACACATTATTTACAGTGTACACACTGCATTGTAAGTGCAGGACAACCACACCCAATACCAAATAAACATAGATTCTCAAAGACCCTTTCTATTTCTTTTGAAGAATACGCTTAAATGATAGTTACTTTAGTATGGTTTTCTTTTGCAAAAATCAGAACTATTATATCAAAAGAATCATCTATGAATTAACCATGGTACTTTAAACAACAAATTTGATTGTACCAGGTTGTTCAGAATAAACAGAAGTAATGATATTAGAAATTGTTCTGAAAAGATCTGGAAAATATAGAAATCCAGTTTAAGTCAGAAGACTATCCATATTTTTTACTTTTAGACCATTCAAGGTCAGAAAAGAATAAAGTATTTGGGTGGGGAAATTAATTATAAATAAAAGTAATGAAAACCTTTCTGGCCATAAAGTAGGCTAGACACTTGTACTATAATAATTGACATAAATAACTACTACTAGTGATATACTGTAGTTACCATAATAAACAGCACACAATGGTGGACATTTTCCCTAAATTTGTATGAACAGCTGCATATTTGCATTTAATATATTGACTACATGGGGAACCTCTGGAGAAAAAATTGTAAATTTTTGTATAATGTGCACGCCCAGTTTAGCAAGCATTTTTTAGGGTTAAAAACTGCATTATACATGCAAATATACAGTACTAATTTGACTTTCTTGTCTGAGAGGTATGGTTACTACTCTTCATCTATGATCTGAAGTAGTTTGTGTTTATATTGTGTTCTTGAATTTATTGAACAGAGGATTTGATTGATTTAATATTTTTATGACCTGGAACATGGTTTATAAGGATTTTGTATATAATTTGTTTTAAGATTATATTGGTTAGCGATGTAGACTTAGCATGATATAAATTATAATCATTATTAAAATATTTATGATTCTTCTTGTAATACCATAATGTTTTAATAGATTTAAAATATCTAATACACCTTAGGTAAATAAAGGTACCTCAGTTAGCTTAATAAAGATAGTACAGTATTACCATATATATAAGTAATGTAAAGTTGTAATATAATAATGAAATATGTGAAGTAGTCATGTTATTCTCCCTTTTTTCTGATCTAATCATTGACAATACCTTAACCAAAAATACTTTTTGAATAAAAGTTAAGTTTGATAAA